GCACGGGTACGACGGGTGCATCAGGCACAACGGGTGCAATGGGCACTACCGGTGCCACGGGTGCCACGGGTAACGCAGGTGCTACCGGTGCTACGGGTGCTTCGGGTGCTACTGGCGCTACTGGTGCCACGGGTGCCACGGGTGCGATGGGTCCTGCAGGGCCTGGTGACCCCCTACTCTGTTCCGAGGCCTGTGAAGCTGAGCTGGCAGAGGCCTATAGATTCTGCGAGGTACGTGCATCTAGAAGTATTTAAAGATAAAGAGAAAACATCTGTTATTTTGATTCTCAAATATTCATTTAAAACCGTGTCTGCAGGGCATTTATGAGGACGAGCCACGTCGCTTCGAGTGTCAGGTCTACGCATATGGGGTTTATACTGCATGCTTTAATTTCTGCCAGAGTACTGGAGGCGAGCAAATCACGATGCTACCGAATCCTTCAAGCAGAATCGGCAGCCTGACACTGAATACGGGTGAAAATGGTCTACGATCTTCACTCGTGAGCGGGGACTATGCGTATTTCGGGTGAGGAAAAGTCAAAAGAAACACGCAGCATCGCAGGATTCGATGCGATCTGACTTTCTGATACGCTTCGCTATACTCTCTACACAGAACTGACACAGCTCCTGGCAAGGTGGTAAAAGTTGATCTGAGCACCTTTAGTCGTGTCGGCAGCCTGACACTGAATGCAGGTGAAACTGATCTACGGTCTTCAGTTGTAAGCGGGGACTATGCGTATTTCGGGTGAGGAAAAAGTCAAAAGCGGCACGCAGCATCATAGGATTTGTTGCGATCTGACTTTCTCATACGCTTCGCTATACTCTCTACACAGAACAACCACAGCTCCAGGCAAGGTGGTAAGAGTTGATCTGAGCACCTTCAGTCGTGTCGGCAGCCTGACACTGAATCCGGATGAAGATGATATACGATCTTCAGTTGTGAGCGGGGACTATGCGTATTTCGGGTGAGGAAAAAGTCAAAAGCGGCACGCAGCATCGCAGGATTCGATGCGATCTGACTCCCTGATACGCTTCGCTATACTCTCTACACAGAACTGCCACAGCTCCTGGCAAGGTGGTGAAAGTTATTGTCTAGCCCTCAAACTGGGACCCCAGCTCTTATAGAACCCTTACAGTAGTACTAACTCAGACGTAACAGCCGATTCGGACAACATTCTAGGGGAATATCTAGGCTTTTGATATGGCCCTATCGAGAAATGTACCTTACCGCCCAAAAAAGAAGTCCATCAAGATAGATAATGAAAGGAAGCATTGAGGCTTTCGAACTAAATATTTGTGTCTAGACTCAATTTATCTTACCGGCAAAAAAAGAAGTCCACCCATCAAGAAAGTGAAAGGAAGCATTATGGCTTTCGAACAAAATATGTGTGTCTAACCTCACTTTATCTTACCGCCCAAACAAGATGTCCATCCAGATAGTTAGTGAAAGGAAGCATTGAGGCTTTCGAACTAAATATTTGTGTCTCGGCTCGATTTATCTTACCGCCCAAAAAGGTTAGGGTTAGGGTTAGGGTTAGGGTTAGGGTTAGGGTTAGGGTTAGGGTT